AATTAAAACAAAGTAAGTTGCATATAAAATCACGTAATTTTATTACAAGAAAAACTATTTTGTATAGGTATTAATTAAACATATTTATGGCGCAAATTGGCTCTTAGAAAATTAAATTTTTTTATGTATACTACTATGTGGTTATAATTGGTGGCGTGGGTCTTCTAGTTGGGCGCGTTGGTCTCCTAGTTGGAGGCGTAGGTCTCCTGGTTGGGGGCGTTGGTCTCCTAGTTGGAGGCGTTGGTCTCCTAGTTGGGGGCGTTGGTCTCCTAGTTGGTGGCGTAGGTCTCCTAGTTGGGGGCGTGGGTCCCCCAATTGGGGGCTGGGCTTGAGTCATAGCTATAGTGATTAATAGCACAACTCCAAAAACTGGAATTCAAAAAGTTAGTAGGAAAATCATATGCATATGTACCACTACTTAAGAACTTACGAAGCACGAAGCAATTCCTGGGCCACATTTTTCGATGCCTTGATGATTTCGTGTTCGAGAACGGAGCACAACTGATGGTCTTACAACATAGCAGACGCGCTTTTATAGGGGAATCGACATCAGGAAACAAGTCATTTTCGGATAACACTTGCAAGTCTTTTTACCATTGTCTAAATTGGTGACAATACATTTAAGTGAAAAGACTGTCCGCGTTTATTCATTGCTTAATTTTCGACAATACTACAAAGCGAGTCATAAAAATGGTTAAACAAATCAATTTTGAACCCTTTAGCTTCGAAATGCTTACATTTGTATGTACGGTTGCAACTACATACACTCATACGTACTAAGAAATACATATATAATATTCGTTGGCAGTCTTAGTTCCTTCGCTAAAAAAAACTTTTAATACAACCAAGAAGAATATTTCATAAAGTTGTCAGTTGACATGTCAGAGTAAGAAAATGCCGATGCATATAATTAAATAATCAAGGAATAGAAAAAAAAATTAGTAAAGAAAGCGCGCGGACGCGTTTTCATACGAATCTCGAAAGGCGAAGGGCTATTTGGATAATAAGAAAGAAAATATATTTTCGGTATTCATGGAAACGCGTAAATTCTAAAAGTAACCAAGTAAAAAAAAACGTTTTATTATACAATAAACTGTAAAAACAAACCTCGTTTATTTGCCATAAATAAGACATGGGTACAATAAATAGTTTTGTTAAAAGAAAACTAAACAAATTCTTTTTACATGTGAGGCCATCAGGACCAGAGGAGCCTATCTATAAAAAAATGTTTAGTATTTATTATGAAAAAGAAGGATCTATAAAAAATAAATGCCGTCCTTTTCTAAATAATTCATTGCACTTAAAATATGCTACATATTATAGTAAAAAAACGTAAAGTGCGTACCTCAGGCTATTACCGTTTCGATTCTGGTAATTTTAAGGTGCACTTAAACTTTTTTGGAAATGTCCTGGAATGGAATAACTGCCACCCAGGTTTTTTTGAGAAACAAAAGGGTACTGTATAGATTTTGCGAAAAGAGTATTTTATTGTTAATTTTCCACAGATTTTACTTTAGCTGTATTAATTAGCTTTTAAATTTTAATCCCTATTTACATTCGCCAGCAGTATAAACTTTGAAAGAAAAGTTCATGTGTCGGAAAAATTAGTAAAATTAGTAAATGTATTGACTCAAAGCAAGATTAAGCATTTTATTTCGGAAAACAGTAAACAGTGACTATGATTTTTATCGACACCTTGGTTTTTGATTTCAAAATTTTAATATACTTATGTATGTAAATTTTATTTACGGTCTCTGGTTTCCCCTGAGAAAGTATAAAATTATTCTCTATTGAAATTATGACTAAGATTTTCGTTCCTAGATTGAGAAAACTACATTCATATCTTCTTACTACTTTTTTCTCTGTGTACTATTTCACTCATGTGTTCCTTTGGATCTGCAGTGTCGAATTTTGAAAAGGTTCACCTATCAAAACGAATCATAATTCCAACTCCTGATTTTTTTTTTTAATCCACCGCCATTTTATATATAGAGTTTGAAGGAAAACACATTAATTTTAAAATGACTCCGCTTTGATTGGTTATAACAAGTAGCTGCCTAATCATGATCCGTTTGGCATTGAGTGTCCCAGAAATTTGTATGTATATTTACGTATTATTATATTTACTTTATAAATCAAATCAGTTGTATTCGATTTTAAATTCCCAAATTTTTCCAATGCGATTTAGTTTAAAAAGTTTTAAGTATTAATTGTAAATGGTCATAAAAAAAACTTTCATTGATACATATTTATGGCATTCAGAGTATGGGCCCACTATTATGTAGTTTAAAACATTTCTTATAAGTGGTCGGAAAATCGTACTGCATATTTACATTCGATTGATATTACATGTATGTATGTATTTATAACCAATATTTATTTACACCATATACATAACCAATATTAATATACACCCTAATATAATTTACATATTTTTTCTACATACCTGTTTTTTCGGTACTGTGGGCATAAAATGAGTAATATCTCAAATCAAGATCTCAATTCTCTCTAATATTTTAGTCAAGTCCCAGCTTGCAGACAACACGAAAATTCACATATATGTACATATACATATATTGATATTTATGTACATATGCATATGCTACTACCTGTGTAGGCGCACGCTAATTATTATATTCTCAATTTCTCTTACAGCTACAACAAAATAAACATAAACCCACTCTCGCATAACACGCGGAAAATTAACGGGACGACCACTGAATACAGGTACATGTGGAATGGAAACGCTTGTTTTTGCTGGCACGGTGATTTGTGCTATTCACGCGCACTTTGCAAGATGACAATTAGGAAATTAGATTTTTCATTCAATTTAGTGCGGCTGTTATATGCACATAAGTACATACATATGTATGAATGAAACCTGAGTGATTTAGTACGAATTGAATATCAGACCTAATGCATACAATTCGAATCAAACTGCTTAACAGAAATTGGAGCCAGTAAAAAATACTAAAACTTAACAATAAGCTCATAAACTTGGATTTTAAAAAAATATACTTTGTGAAAAAATTAAATATTTTTACTAGTTCTTGAAAAAAAAGCCATTAGGGTGTAAAATAGAAACGAATACGCAATTCTTGAAAATTTTAATATATTTGTAGCGAGTTATAATAAAAATTTAATAAATATTGAAATATAAACCTTATTTTACGTATGTATTTCTTTAGAAGTTATTTGACAATTTCGACGTATGAGGAAGTTTGTAAGTACCCAATGTTGTGTAAAATTATGGAAACAAATTATTGAATGTTTAATTTATTAATTTTTTTTAATAATGACTCCGTAAAATTAAAAAAAATTTACTTTAAACATCAAAAAAAATAACCTACATAATAAGCTTATATATAAATAAACTTTTAACTACGATGTCATGAAAGACGAGAGTAGGGGCCGTGCCCCTCTTCCTCTGGGAAATTTGTTAGGCATATATATAAAGCAAGTCCTGCAACCAGGCGCGCAAAAAGCGCGCATATGTAGATCGCCAACGATCGACTTTTCTTTCGTTCAGCTCACCACACCAGAAACTAATTTACCACATTAACTACATAAATACGTAAGTATGTATGTATGTATGTGTATGTACACATATGTACGTATGTATGGATGCATTTATGCGCATATTTGGTATTTATTAATGCATAGGGAACATCATGAACGTAAAACACTATGCTGGAATAAATAAGAAAACGAAACAAGTATTTGTTTGTGATCCTGCAATCAGGAAAAATGAAGGGGCAGAAAAAACGCTCGGTCGTGTCTTTTACAATGCGGTATAAAATACTTGCCTTCTGTTCTCCTGGTAATTTGTTGACTATTCGAACAACTTTCGACAAAAATAAATAAATTGTGACCGCCCCTCTCAGACGGCACATATTGAATTATCCGGAGCGCATACAAATAAATCTGGTCTGCATTTTTTGGAAATTGCAAAAACCAAGTCAAGCAACCAGGCGCGCATTAGTTACATGGAGGTCGCCTTTACCCCTTTCTACATATGTATTTCCTTGATCATAGTTTACTATATACTAACTTGGGCTGGCGTTACTACTCTACTATATATGTAGTACGCATATAGGGAATATCATGGAAGCGAAACTCTTCTGGAGCAAGCCAGTAAATGGAACGAGTATATTTTGGTGATCCTGCGAGCGGGTATGTGTACGGCTCTCGGTGAAAAGTTTGACGGACTGCCGCTTCAAGAGTGCCAGCCTGCCTGCGTTCAATTTCTATTCTCCTGGTAATTAGACGACACTACAAAATTGTTAAAAAAAAAATGTCGCCATATTGATAATGCCCACCACATATCCGAAATTATTAGGCGGGCATGAAAGTATTACTGGACCAGCGGAAGATTTTTCGATGATGACTTTTGCGTGACCGGTAATATTACGTCTCCAACTAATTTAACCAGGCACGCATAACCCACATGAAGGTCAAGCTTGACCGGTTATTTTTTTTCTTTGTATACATAGTTCACTACTTAATAATTAGGTCCGAGTTACTACGCCCTCTATATGATATGCATATAAGGAACATCATGGAACCGAAACTCTTATTGAAATGAGTTGGTAAATGGAACGAATATTTTTTAGCTGATGCCAATGCCACATTTTTGTTCCTGTTCTCCTGGTAATTGCTGACATTATTTTTATGTAGAAATTTTTTCTTTCTTCACCAACGAGTTTTTAATTTGACTCCATTATATACAAATTTAACATACGCTCATTAAACTGAATATGGGGGTTCGGTCCAGCTATTTGTGGAGGCTTGCTATTTCGGTATGAGCACCTGGTAAAATGGCCTTCTATAATGAATTGGACAGTGGCTGCTGGCAGCCTGCCAGCAGCCACTGTCCACACCTCCAATAAGCATATAAAATTGTATCAGGCGCTGATAAAAGTACGTATATGCCGTTTTTTATTTTGTATTAAGAAGGTTTTAATAGTGGCCTGCTTCTTTCTTATGGGCGCCTAGTAAAATGGCTGTCTGAGGTGAATTTGATTTCTGTTCCCCTAGTAATTGTTTTGCTTTTTTTTCACCTTTTTTGTCTGGTTGCATGCTGGCAAATCTGTATCGATCTTGATTTTCAACATTTACAAAATTGTGTGTTAAAATATTAGCCGCCCTTAGAACACATAGGAGATTGTTTCTCCTTATTTTTCTTTGCATCACAGAGGCAAACAGCACAGCCCGAAAATAACTGAACTAACTTTATAAATATGTACATTACTTAGTACGTACGTATGTACATATATATATGGGATTATTAAGCAACAGACTAAATAAAGGAGCGACAGAAGTAAATTTTACGAACGTTTGCTGCCATAACCTTGCGGCTGGAAATAAAT